ATCAGCATGTCACTGTTGTTGGAAGAAAACCTCACAGAGCAGGTACTATTTGGGTGGTGGATCATTCTCAGCACTGCAGTAACACTGGCGTGGTGGTGGTGTGTTAGTGTGTGTTGTGCTGGTCTGAGTGGATCAGACACAGCAGTGCTGCTGGAGTTTTTAAACACTGTGTCCACTCACTGTCCACTCTACTAGACACTCCTACCTTGTCAGTCCACCTTGTAGATGTAAAGTCAGAGACGACAGCTCATCTGCTGCTGCGCAGTTTGTGTTGGTCATCCTCTAGTCCTTCATCAGTGGTCACAGGTCGCTGCCCACAGGACGCTGTTGGCTGGATATTTTTGGTTGGTGCACTATTCTCAGTCCAGCAGCGACACTGAGGTGTTTAAAAACTCCAGCAGCACTGCTGTGTCTGATCCACTCAGACCAGCACAACACACACTAACACACCACCACCACGCCAGTGTTACTGCAGTGCTGAGAACGATCCACCACCCAAATAGTACCTGCTCTGTGAGGGTCCATGGGGGTCCTGACCACTGAACAACAGGGTAACAAAGTATCAGAGAAACAGATGGACTACAGTCTGTAACTGTAGAACTACAAAGTGCACCTATATAGTAAGTGGAGCTGATAAAATGGACAATAAGCGCAGAAACAAGGAGGTGGTCAGAATGTTATGCCTGATCTTTGTATATAAGCCACGTTATAAATGCACAAGCAGTGTTTTATTTAAAGTTGTAAAAGGCCTATCAGTCCTTTGGGATGGAGGATGTATGGGTCAGAGTGTGAGTCCACACATTAATGATCCAGCACAGCGTAACCCAGTGGGAGGCATCTACATTATTCAATACTCAGATTCTACAACTCTGTCTCTGTGTGAGGTGAACTACAGCTCATTAAAGCAAAGAGGGCAAATGTTTCTCTTCATACTTAGAGAAATGATTAGTGGAGCTGGTCCAGCTTCCTTAAACGAGATATACTTTACTTTGTTCCAATTTAATGCAGTTTCCTGCTCTTTGAAAGACAACCGTAAAAACTGTAAGACAGATGAAACATTTATTCTGTATTCGTATGATGTGTTTTACCCTGTCATTTATGTCTATGTAAAGAACAGCTTGAGTCCGAGCCTCGGGTCTCTGAGGTGTGAGTCCGAGTGTCGAGTCAGTGGGATGTGAATCTGAGTTGAGTCTCAAGACTCTAACCTGATGGTCTGAGTCAAGTCTCGTGTCTCTGAGGTGCCAGTCTGAGTTGAATTTTGAGTCTCTGGGATGCGAATCAGAGAGTCTCAAGTCTCTGAGGTATGAATCTGAGTCGACTCTTGAGTCTCCGAGGTATGAATTCGGTTGAGGTGCGAATCTGAGTTGACTCTCGAGTCTCTAAGGTATGAATCCAAGTTGACTCTCGAGTCTCTGAGGTGAGTCTGAGCCAAAGTTTGAATTTAACATGTTCCAAAAAAGGGAGGGGGGCATGTTTACCGCTGTGTTTCATCACCTCTTCTGTTAACAAACTCTATAAGCGTTTGGGAACTGAGGAGACACTGCTGTAGTTTTGAAAGTGAAATGTTTCCCATTCTTGTTTGATACAGGATTTCAGCTGTTCATCAGTTTGGGGTCTCCTTTATCATATTTTTCATTTTATAATGTGCCAAATGTTTTCGAGACAGATCTGGACTGTAGGCAGGTCAGTTTAGGACCCAGACTCTTTTAATACGGAGCAATGCTGTTGTAATATGTGCAGAATTTGGTTTGGCATTGTCTTGCTGAAATAAGCAAATACTTCCCTGAAAAAGACGTTGTCTGGATGGAAGCATATGTTGCCAAAACATGTGTATATCGTTCAGCATTAATGGTGCCTTCACAGATGTGCACGTCACCCAAGCCATGTGCTCTAATGCCCCCTATACCATCATGAATACTGGCTTTTGAATTGTGCATTGATAACAAGCTGAGTGGTCTTCAGCCCGGAGGACATTATTTCCAAAAAGAATTTCAAATGTTGATTCGTCAGACTACAGGACACTTTTCCACTTCCCCTCAGTCCATTTTAAAAGAGTTAGGGCCCAGAGAAGGTGGCTGTGTTTCTAGATCCTGTTTATATCTGGTTTCTTCTTTGTGTTTTAGAATTTCAACTTGCATTTGTGGATGAAGTGTTTCTGAGCTCATGCAGTGATTTCCACTACAGAATCATATCTGTTTTTAATGCAGTGCTGCCTGAGGGCCCAAAGATCACGGCCAGCAAATACTGGTTTTTGGCCTTGACCCTCACATACAGAGATTTCTCCAGATTCTCTGAATCTTTTAATGATATTTTGTACAGTAGATGATGAAAAGCAGAAGTTATTTTATGTTGAGAAATGTTATTCTTGAATTGTTGCTCTGTTTGATAGTGCGGTCTTTCACAGAGTGGTGAACCCCTCCTCATCTTTACTTCTGAAAGACTCCGCCTCTCTGAGATGCTCTTTTAAACCCAATCATGTTACTGACCTGTTGCCAATCAACCACCAGGTGTTTTGCATTGCACAACCTTACCAGCCTTTTGTTGCCCCCATCCCAACTTTTTTGGAACGTGTTGTTTTTCAAAAAACAACAAAATTTCTCAGTTTCAACATTTGATATGTTGTCTTTGTACTATTTTCAATTAAATATAGGGTTTAAATGTTTTGCACATCATTGCATTTTGTTTTTATGTACATTATGCACAGCGTCCCAACTTTTTTGGAAATGGCGTTGTATTTTTCAAAGCGCATTACAATCACAATTACAATATGTAGCAATATAATCACAATACTAGTATTTTGTCCATATTGTCCAGCAGTATTGCTAAGATTTTATCTGTATCATCCCCCTGATCTTTGTCTCAAAGTACTTTTGCAAGACAAATCTTTTCTAGATGCCTCATACAGCTTTACTGGATCTTCATAATCTTCTCCAGCTGTTAAAACACATTTCCAGGAAAAACATCTCATATTCTCAAAAGTCTAGACTAGACGTTTTCTCAGAATGCAGAAATAATGTACCGCTTAGAGCGAAACTGAAACTGAAGCTGTCTGAACGAAATACGCTCACATTGCATTAAATGAAGTGCAGCTAAATTCAAGAACCTGTTCCAATAAAAAAGAGCTGTTAGCATACAGGCACTTTTTTCTCAGCTTAATTTATTTATGCTTATAATGGTAATAATAATACAAACTCATAATAGACAGTTGTTCATGTGAGCCATTGACAAAGAGCAGTAACATATTTACATTCTTGAGTTTGATTTGCTGAATCAGTGCTTTTGTTCAAGAGGTTTTACATCGTTGTGCTAGATGTTGGGAACTGAGTGTTTAAAGAGCTTTAACAGTGAGTGTGTATACATGCACTCAATAATCTGATCATAATCAGATTTCTGCAGTTATTAGATTATTCAAATGATCTTGTAAAAACCATACTCCGCTCTAGAAATCTGATTAAGAAATCCGAATAAAAAGAGCCTTTATCCTCACTCTGGACCCCTAATGGTTAAATTTCCCTCAGCAAAAATGTAACAAGTCTGTTGAATATAGCATCTTAAATGCATTTTACATTTTCCCCTGAGGTCCAGTCATGACATTTGTGTGGCTATTTAAAAAACAAAACAAAACAAAAAAAAAACACAAACTTAAATGTAAAAGCTCTTTTCCAACCTCTGTGTATCTCTTACAACTAACTAGACTGTGTTTGTCACTCTGGCTTTAAGACTGATATATTTAAATGAACAGTGCTTATAACTTCAGATTGAATGGGTGGAGCTAAACTGCTGAAGGCCGAATAGGTGGATATACTTAAATTAATCTTTTTTGTGACATCACAAAAACTGTGATTTGAAAATGGGCTGTTTTTGCCTTCACTGTCTCTGTATGGATGGTATGGGACTGTATGGACTGTGTGGACTGTGGAGTGAATGGAACATTTTAAACTTTAACAGTGTTTACATTCTCAACTTTTATTTTAAAAAAAGTGATGAAATTTCAGTTTTCCATGGTATCTAAATGTTTCCCTTTTTCTGTACTGTTCTCCAGTCTTAGGCACTGTTCACTGTAAATAAATAATCATATAATTATTATGAATACATAAATAATAAAGTTTGATTTGTTGGTATATGGGCTTGCAGATCAGTGCTTTTAATATTGATACTTGCAGCAATACATATAATTTGTGACATGTTGTTTTAATCTTTTAATTTCGTCCAGTGTGTTGTTATGGAACCCCATTCCTGCCATGTAGCTGAAAAATAATCACCCTTTTTTGTTTAGTTGTATTGAAATATTGATGTAATATTTTGAAATAATGACTAATTTTATTGAATTCATTGTAAAAAAAAATGTAATAATAATGATGATTTTGGAATCATAAGCTTTTTGACGAGATAAATCACGGAGATTATGGACATAATAATTCATTTTTTCCACATAAAAGTCAATATTTTGAGAAAATTAGTTATTATTTGGATAAAGGTAATGATTATTTCAAGATATTAAGTCATTATTTTGACATACTAATTAAATTTCCAAGAAATTTAGTCATTAAGTTAATATTTCAAGAAAACAACAAACAAAATGCAGGTGAAGTTGGTAACCAAGAAGAAGAAGAAGATGGGGAGGAAGAATAAGAAGAAGCAGAAAAGAAAAGAAAAGAGCAGAAAAGAAAAGAAAAGAGCAGAAAAGAGCAGAAAAGAAAAGAAAAGAGCAGAAAAGAAAAGAAAAGAAAAGACCGCTGCTGATTGGCTCTGAACCCGCCGCGACGCGTAAACAAGCGCCGACAGCCCCGCCCCCTTGTGCTTGGAGAGCCCCGCCCCCCCTTCCCCTCCTCGCGCTCGCTGTCTCAGCCTGCGCGCGCTGGTTCCGTGTTCTCGCTTAGTAGTGCAGCAGCGGCGGCGCTCAGGCTCCTCGCCCGCGTGCTGCGTTATTTCCCCCCCCGCGAGGGCCACGCGTGACGCGACTTTCCGGCGGCTCGAGCTCTTCGTCCACCGCCGCCGAACGGGCGCGGCGGAGCAGACGGAGACGGCGGTGTGCGTGCGGGTGAGTAGCGCCGCCTCCCCGTCAGCGGCTCGGGGAAGGAGTGAGCGTGTGTGGGCAAAGTTTTGGGGAGGGGGGGGGGATCTATGTCATGTGTGGCTGTGGCGTCAGCCGTTAGCGCAGCCGGCGGGGCTTCTTTTAGGTGGGCACGAGTAACGTTTCGTTAAAAAATAACGCGAGGGAACGCGCGAGACAGTCCGGCGAGTCCAACTTGCCATGTGTTGTGATTTTCGTGGCGATGACGTCACGCGGAGCATGACGCTGGTACTCTCGGTACAGGCGAGGAGCGAGCTAGACGTGGTCGGTGACGCGAATTTCACCCGTTCCACCTTAAATGGTGCAGCAGTTACGTTCTGGAGCCAGGCGCCTGGATGTAACCGCCGCACCATTTAAGGTGGAACGGGGAAATTCGAAGGAGAAGCTGGCGAATAGGAAGGCAACTTCAGCCTCGTCACACACAAGCCTGTTTTCTGTGTTTACCGAGGTGAACAGCTGACCTGCGGTGTGTCTGCTGGACTGCTGTCCTCGCCGAACCACATTTCAGCCCCTTTTATCTTCGCCTCGCGGGCTGCGCGCCTTCAGCCTATTACGTAAAGTAGCATACCTCTCTCTGCTGCTGTCATATTACGTCACAGGGAGCGAGTGAGACGCTTCTTCACTTCTACAGCAGGGCCACAAACTCAGACTGTGCTGATGAACTTGCCAGCCTGAAGCCGAATAGCTGCACTTCTAGACTGAAATTCACAGCCTAAATGAACAGCCTTAAAGGGGAACTCCACCGACTTTTCAAAAAATTCTACTTAATTAAATCGTTGAGATGTAAACAAAGCCATTCGGAGTGGTTTGGAGCGAAATGCTCTGTTCTAGAGAAACTTGCAGAGTCAGAATTGTTTACAGTGGTGGTGATAGGAACCAGACGTCCAGCTCTAAAAGCTCCCTCGCGGAAATTTATTGCTTAACAGCTCCTTGGGACCACCGGTGGTTCCAAAACGCACTCCGTCATATTCTTCATAACTTTCATATTTCATAAGCTACATTCTAAAGGTGGGGGTCGTATGAGGCTGTAACTGTCTTCTTTCCAGTCAAATAGATGGGTGATGTGATTTTAAACCCTTATAATAAAAGAAGCTGAACTCACAATTTTTTTTTTCTACTGAAAGTCGACCCATTTTTCCACCAATCTGGGCTATAAACTATAAACAGATGGCGTCTCTTCAGTGATCTGCTCTGTAGAAATTATTTTTATAAAATAATACAAAGAGCGTCTCAGATTTTTGGCTTTCAGCAGTAAATTGTAAGCATAGAGCAATATGTGTGATCATAAACAAACATGTTCTGTTAATTTGAGGGGAGCTTTTACAAAAAATAAATAAATAAAAATTTACATTAATTTCATGCAGTTACTGAATAATTAGCCTTACGATTTGGTCATGGAAATTTAGATGGAAAAAACAAAATATACCCTGGAGAATAAGAGGTTAAGTGGTTTGATATGTGCTGCCTGGTGTCTGACCCGTTATTTTGTGATAAAGATTTGGCCTAAAATATATTTATTTTAATCCATTCGTTGTGGAGAGATGCATGCAGGGCAGTGTAAGGCAACATAGTCCCAAAAGAAAACTTATTTTTCACAGTTATGTTTATTTTTCCATATCAACGTTACATATAAAGCCTCAGAAGACGCCTGCAGGTTCACTGTTTGTTTGGATAGTGAATAAAATGGCTATATTTGTGTTGCAGACATGGCGACCCCTGGTTCCTATCACCACCACTGTAAAGAAATGAGTCTGTAAGTTTCTCTAAAATGTACCACTTCACATCGAACTACTCTGAATCACTCTGTTTACATCTCAAGGACTGAATTATTCATGATTTTGGAAAAATTGGTGGAGTTTTCCTTTAATGTAGCGACAGCTGCTGCTTCCCAGGTGTTCTGTTTGAGTTGTTCGTCCAGGATTTTTGTTTTTGAGCATGTTTCGGTAGGTATGTGTAGGTATGAGCCTGTTTGTCCTATATGTTCTGGAGCTGGGTACTCGATATTGTTTTGGGTGGGTGGAGACAGTCATAAAACCGTTTTGTGTACAACATCTGGAAGGTACTCACAATAACATCCCTCCAGTGAGAACTTTTGAAGTGACACACCCTCAAGGTTTTCCCCCTTTTTCCCTTGACAGGGACTTTCCGAGCAAGTTCTCATTTATAGGCCGACCGCTATGAAAAAATAAAAAGTTTTTAAAAAGTACCTATTCCTCCGGCACAGCAAGGCAGGATAGTAGTGAGACTTGACAGAACTGACATTTGAGATCCGTGATAATTGTGCGCTTTGTGTTTTATTTGGAAATATAATGTAACTTGGAAATGATGGCCTTGGAGTCTGTTTAATGGTCTAGGCCAGGGGTATTTAATTAAAATTCAGCATGGTCCAGTTAAAGAAAATATCCTCAAGCAAAGGTCCAGAACATCATAATGTCTAACTTGCATTATGATTCAGTGCCATATACTGTTTCCTGGAGTAGCCTAGTAGGTATATCAACATCTAATACAGTCGACAACTGAATGTCAAATCAAATAAAGTACAGTTCAGTCATATTTCAACAATATTTATGGTCAGTTTTCTCTTTTTAGATCACGACATGTGAAATAACTTCCCTCTGACTCACTTTCTTCTCCGACTGCTGTTTCTCGCCTCGTCCCTCCTGTGTGCGTCACTCATTCACGTCTCAGTGCTCATCGTAATGCACAGATCTGATTGGCTGAGTAGCGTCACATGACATTTACAATGCATACGATTGGTCTGTGAGTCTCCCGGGCCGCTAAAGCTACCGTAAAGGCTAGAAAATGTACGCTGATTAAAACAGGACCACCCTGTCGAAATTAAATAATTCTCCATAGTTTATCAGTTAAAGGTCCAGGTCCGCATAGGACAGCGTCTGGGTCCGGACTCGGACTGCGGTCCGCCTATTAGTGACCTCTGGTCAAGGTTTAAAGGGGCATTCCAGCCTAAAACTAGCATTTCGCTGTTGTCGGATGAAAACCTCATATCTCGGTTTTTATTGTTTTTCAGTTTTTGACACAATTTGAAAATGCCTGTCGCCCTTTACGTTGTGTGTAAATGTAATGAAGAATGGACCAAAAAAAACCGGCCCAAAATGACTTGAAAAAAAAGTCTGGTTCCATTGACTTACATTAAAAGTAAAGTAGGTTTTCTCCTTCTCCTGTAAAATTATCATTTTGGAGATACAAGATTTTCTTACGACAACAGTCATGTTATGTAATATTCTGTAGCACAGCACTGCATGCCTCAGCCCCACTGGTTTGAAATAATTCACAATTGTTTACCCTTTTTTATGTTTTCCATCAATGTTCTGTCATTACACTACCCAGCATGCATTCATACAACCATTGGGAATCCCCCATACAGTGATAAAGAAATCCTGACTGTTAATGTGGGTGTCAAGGCTAATCATAGGGACATGATATTTGCCATATCAGTAATGTTAGCTGTCTGGCCAGTTAGTGGGCAAAAAAAACAGGCCGTCCCCAAGATTACAACCTCAATCTTATAGTTTTCCTCCCATCTTCTAGATACATCATTAGAAGGGGATTTTCCCAGTCTTTAAGCTGGAAAGTCTCACTCTAGAGACTATTGTGACACCACTGTAGGAGGCGAAGCAGGCCTGCTTATAACAGATGAAGCAACAGTTACACTGTTCATTTTGGCCAGTATGTCCCCTTAACCTCACTGACGGTGTTGTTTGTTCTTCAGGGGCTTGCAGTCAGAGTGAGAAGAAGAATGTATTTTCATTGGACCATCAGCTGCCTCGGAGCTGAGGCGAGGACAGTATCACTGCGGCAGGCCCATCCTGTAGGGCCCTAGTTTCTGACCCCTGACCTCCGTGACCTTCTAGTGAAGATGGCGACCCAGAGGAGGCACCTGGTCAGAGACTTTAACCGGTACATCACCTGCTCCATGTGCCACGGCTACTTGATCAAACCCACCGCCGTCACCGAATGCCTGCACACATGTAAGGTCCACCTTTTCTCCCTCTGTTAAGCTTAACCTTCACCCCGAACCGAACCCTGAACTGGCCTGGCTTAACTGCAGCCTGTCATTTAGTGATCGACTCTCTCTTCTAGCCAGTGGTGGACAGTAATAAAGTAAATGTAATTCGTTACTGTACTTAAGTAGCTTTTTGTGTATCTGTACTTTACTGAAGGCGGCACGGTGGCGCAGTGGGTAGCGCTGTCACCTCACAGCAAGAAGGGCCTGGGTTGAATTCCCGGCCGGGTGACCAGGGTCATTTCTGTGTGGAGTTTGCCTGTTCTCCCCGTGTCTGTGTGGGTTTCCTCCGGGTACTCCGGTTTCCTCCCACAGTCCAAAAACATGCAGTCAGGCCGATTGGACAGGCTAAATTGCCCCTAGGTGTGTGTGTGAATGTGTATGTCTGTCTGTCTGCCCTGCGATGGACTGGCGACCTGTCCAGGGTGTATCCTGCCTTCCGCCCAATGACAGCTGGGATAGGCTCCAGCACCCCACCGCGACCCAGAAGTATAAGCGGTTTAGATGATGGATGGATGGATGTACTTTACTGAAGTATTTCCATTTTGGGTGACTTTTTACTTTCACTCCACTGCATTTCAAAGTCAAATATCTCACTTTTTACTCCACTACATTATGAGAAATCTGTCGTTCCTTTTGGTTTATGTGTGCATATAAATGTAACATGTCAAAACGAAAGAAGTGCGAAGCAAAAGCACCAATCATCAATGCTTTTGATCATTTTAATAGACATCAGCGTCACTAATTAATGACATTCTATTAAAAGACTGGTTTACCAAGAGAGACACTGGAGTATTTTCACCTAAAATGAGTTAATGAAGCGAGTCTTATTACATCAGAGTCATAATTAATCTTTTAGTACTTTTACTTTCGATACTTAAGTACATTTGAAGGCAAATACTTTTGTACTTTTGCTCAAGTGGAGGTCTAAAGGGAGGCTTGTTAATCCATTTATTTGGGAAACTAACATTGGCCCAGGTTAGCTATGTAACTCACTTGTTAGGCTAACATTAGCCACATATAAATATTACACATGCAATGTTATTGTTTACTCAAAAATGACCTAATGTTACGCTAAAAATATCAGCAAATGCCATTTAAAAGCTACGGCTATCAGTGACCCTTTAGTACCACAGAGGAAACAAACATGCTAACATTAATTTATCCTATCAATTTTACATCTCAGTCAGAAAAAGACAGAATTTTCTATTTTTCACCTATGTTTATAGAAGTTTACTCACTGGTTCCGTAGTCAGGCGTAACATTATGACCACCTCCTTGTTTCTACGCTCATTGTCCATTTGATCAGCTCCACTTACTATATAGGTGCACTTTGTAGGGTTGGTGGATCGTTCTCAGCACTGCAGTAACACTGATGTGGTGGTGGTGTGTTAGTGTGTGTTGTGCTGGTCTGAGTGGATCAGACACAGCAGTGTTGCTGGAGTTTTTCAACACTGTGTCCACTCACTGTCCACTCTAGATGCACCTGCACTGTTGGTCCACCCTGTATGGATGTAAGGCCAGAGACGATAGCTCATCTCTTGCTGTACAGTTTGAGCTAATCATCCTCCAGTCCTTCATTGGTGGTCACAGGACGCTGTTGGCTGGATATTTTTGGTTAATGGACTATTCTTAGTCCAGCAGTGATACTGGGGTGTTTAAATGATCCACAACCCAAATAGTACCTGCTCTGTGAGGGTCCATGGGGGTCCTGACCACTGAAGAACAGGGTAAAAGGGGGCTAACAAAGTATGCAGAGAAACAGATGGACTACAGTCTGTAACTGTAGAACTACAAAGTGCTCCTATATAGTAAGTGGAGCTGATAAAATGGACAATGAGCATAGAAACAAGGAGGTGCTCATAATGTTATGCCTGATCGGTGTATATGAAGTACATCCACTGAAAACGTAGCAAATTTAAATGGAAACTCCACCAATTTTTCAAAATTTCTGTGTGTTTAAATGGTTCAGATGTAAACAGAGTCATTCAGAGTGGTTTGGTGTGAAACGCTCTGTTCTAGAGAAACTGACCTGAGTCAGAATTGTTCACAGTGGTGGTGATAGGAACCAGACGTCTGAAGAGTTTAATGCCTCTAAAAGCTAAACTCACAGAAAGTTACTACATGAAATGGTTCTGAATTCACTGCCTGATGCCCGAGACACTGTTTTATGATAGTTTTGTGATAAAGTTTTTCAGATTTCAGATTTCCTTCAGATTTCCACTGATTTACATCACAAACTTTACATTTACAGTTAGTGGTTTTGCGTAATGGCTATATCTGTGTTGTAGACATTGAAGTTTGTAACTTTCTCTACAGGAAACTGTTTTACATCAAACCACTCTGAATTAATTTGTTTATGCTGCAATGACAGAATTATGCAAAAAATTGTAAAAATCAGTGAAGTTCCCCTTTGAACCATGTAATAATGTGGCTTATTTTGGTTTCCTCTCGTCTGATGCTGACCCGCTCAGCAGATAGCTCATCACAGATATTAAGAGTAAGGCTTTAAGTTGGCACAACAGCACTTTATCTTTTCCGATATCGATATTGAAACCTTGAGTATCGGTCAATACCAGTACTGAGCCAACATACATTTTTAAAGTGATTTCACTTTAAAATGAGAGATTTTTAATTGAAGCACTTCTCTAAAGTTGAGCAACTAAAAGTAGTCTATCGTGCTCAGACTAATTCTGCTACACCACAAGAAAAAATACAACGCTAACAACGTCATGTGTGGCAGTTTAGGGTAGATTTACTGCAGGATTGGATCAGATTTTTTTTTTTTTGCACTCTGATATCTGAACCAGCATTTTCTGCTGATATCAGCTTTGATACCGATACCCCTCAATACTAATAAGCCGTCTAGTCTGTGGTTTTTAGGCTTGAAGATGAAGATGCTACTTCTGTTTTTAGCTATGTAGTGTACTTTTGTCTATTTGCTTGCATAATGCTAAGCTGGTGGTCATAAGCTTCCATGTACTTGTTAGCAAACTTAGGACAACAAATATGTCTTGGCTGTAGGGCAGGCCTGAATAATATGAATACTTGAGTTAGGCCTGGGCGATTAATCAAAAGTAATCGAAATCCGACATTCAGAACTTCTAACCGATGTTGGTTATTTCGATTTTTTTAAAATTCTGTTCATTCTTTTCCCCACTCTGTGTGTTCATGTACTGTCCCCTTAAAAACGTACTACCGCGCGTGTATCACATGACTCTGCCACGTCCGCTCTGCGACATGGAAGCTAAGGCTGTGTTCACACAGCAGGCAAAAGTGGCCCAAATCTGATTTTCTCACCAAATCCAAATTTTTGTTGTTTGTCTGTTCACATTATCTATTAAATGTGATCTGTATGAGACATCAGTCTGAACAGATCAGCTCCTAAACTGACCCACATGCTCAAAAGAACAGAGCGTCACGCTGCTTCACGGCTCATCCAGAGGTAAACAATCTCGGCTGCCAGTGAACGCCAGTCGCTCCCGGAGGATCAGCTTCATCTTCTCCAGCATCACAGGAGCCATCATGAAGCTTCACTGACTGACAGCTGGGCTCATCACCCAGAATGTGTTCGAGCCGTAAAAAGGGCGCGGTCGCTTCTTTGGTTCGCGTCCTCGGATTCTTTAAACTTCACTTTCAGACTTTTAACTGTTCTTTGACGCTGCAGCCTCGTTCTCCTGCGGCCGCGTTCGGACATTTCTTTCGAAATCTCTTCAAACACGGAGGGTTTTGGATGAGTCTCTTCTACTGTTTTTACAGAAACATCAGCCCAAATGTTTCTGAGTCTCAGCAGCGTGAAATAATGATGAATGTCGAGTTGGATTGACATAAAAGCTGCGTGAATTCCAATCTGGCTGTTGAGATGATTTACATTAAGATATGCAGAACATATTTACAGTACAAACCTTCAGTGAACTATGAGGGCAAAAAAAACCAAAACAAAATATTTGTTCATTAATCATAATCGAGGTAAAACATTCAGTTAATCGTGATATTGATTTTAGGTCATATCGTCCAGCGCTAACCTAAGTATTAGTTTGTTATGTTGGTATTTGGTTCTCTGTTTGTTATTCAGCAGCTTCGTTTTTTTCGCACTTGGCCATGCTAATTATTCGTTACCCACAGATGTGTAACTTATAAATGCTGCACAAGTGAAAGAAGTGACTCATAAAATGTTTGAACAAAAGAGCCACAACTGCAGATTCTTTCACAGGAACGTAAAGTGCACAAACAGCTGGGCTTCAGCCTGATTATTATTACATAGCGGCCGCTGAATGGATATATTTTGAACTGCAGTAACGTGTAAGGGCCCAGCCTGGCTCTGAGCCGCCTCAACTCCAAGGTCCAAGATCCTTTCTCATGGGTTTTCCTTGGTTCCGCCTCCCTGCCATCCCGAACTTGCTTAAAGTGCCCATCAGGGGTCCCGTTTATGAGATTTCACTACTATGCCTTATTCCTACCTGCCATTACTATTCAGCAAGCAGCCTGGGTTGAAACACTCCTTATAACTTCAGTGTGAATGGGTGGGGCTAAACTGCTGTAGGCTGAATAGGCCAGATGTATAAAGGAATTTTGCTGGAGAATGAAAGGCTCTCTGCATGTCTGAGTACTGACTCAGATTTGACCCCTTAATCTCCCCTCTTTCTCTCTCTAGTCTGTAAGAGCTGCATTGTCCAGCACTTTGAGGAGAGCAACGAGTGTCCTGAATGTGGCATTCAGGTCCATGAAACCAACCCTTTAGAAATGCTGAGGTATATATGAACATATACGAATTTTGCTCTCCATATATTGGTGCCCCACCCAGGTTCTTCATTTCACGTGCTGCTGTTCTATGTTTAGGTTGGATAAAACGTTGGAAGAAATCATCTTTAAGTTGGTGCCTGGTCTTCGAGAGAGTGAGTTATCATATTATATGCATATTATACACCGATGAGCCAAAACAGTATGTCTAACCAGAGAAGGATGGTTTCCTCTTTTGAGTCTTGACTCTTCTCAAGGTTTCCTCATGCTCTTAGGGTGTTTTTCCTCATCCCTGTTGCCTTTGGCTTGGTCATTTGGGGCTTGGACCTGGATTTTCAGCAAAGCTGCTTTATGACAAAAAGCATGTATATGAAAAAGTCTTAACTTGACTCATTCTGTTATTGGTCATTTACATGACACCAAAACAGGACTCTACAAGATCTCTGAAGGTGCCTGGCACAAAGACAAGAACCGACTGTCTGCTTAATCTAATATATTCCAGGCCTTGACATGCACTGCTGTAGGGCTGGGTGATAAAACGATAATGATAAGTATCGCAATATAACTTTCCTCGATATAAGTATAAGAAATGTTCGATAAATGTTCGATATAATAGAGTATTCTCTCACCTCCACGTTCAAGCGACAGCCCTGGTGGTGTTTTCTACTGCAAGGAAAGTGACACTACTCTGCTGTCGCCACGAGAGGGCACACTTCTGAGTTTTTCGACATGATTAGAGAGGGAGGGGGGGGTCAAGAAGTGAAATGAGTCGCCAAATATTCTTTAGCGACGGCTGAAACGTGGAGTTATATATGCCCTGTCTGAGCGGAGCGACCGGCGATCTGTTCTCCTGTGACCGAGTGTGAGTGACGAGGTCAGTGGTGTAACTGTACTGACCTACAGTGAACTCACCTCTTTCCTAACATCCTAACCAGCTTTAGCAGTGTTAAATCACGTCTGCTCCTCTCAACTACAGCACTGTTACAGCGCTCAGTCATATTTTAGTATTAGTGCATTCACAAGCAGCAAAAGTGAAAGAAAGAAGTGGTTCATGTTCGTTACAGCACTGAATTAAACGAAAGTAAACTGAGGAAGCTGTGAGGCATTGGAGAGTGGGAGAACGCGACTAGCTGTTTAGCAGCTGGCTAACCTGAAGCAGCTCCGTCACTCACACAGCACGGCGAACTGATGTTACTGTAGATCAAACAAGACAAAAAAGCACTGATTTCAGTTTAAACATGCCTAAAAGGAGGACTCTGTTTGTCTGGTGTGAGAGATTCACACTTTTACACAGCGAGCGTCAGATATACTGCGGTTCACCCCTCAAACTGCTATGATAGAATAGAGAATCCAGTCTTCTGCAAGCTGGTGTCTGAATACTGTGATCTGCTCTGACATTGATGTGGTAGGAGTGACGGCAGTAAGACGGTGTGATCCATCCCTGACCTACCGAGCCAGATAATGTTTGCTGTTCGTATTAAGTTGATGTTGTTGAGAAACTAAACAGTTTAGCACTGGCCGAGCACTCGCCACCACACAGCTAAAAATATTCTGTTTTCTTTCTTAAATTATAAATATAACAAAAATTGTGGCCGTGCTTTTCCAGCTGATAAAAACAGCTGACCAGAAACTTTCTCCCACTCTCCCATGACAGATTTGTGAAATGTTGCACTGTTTGGTGAGTGTTTATCATGTTCTGACCATAAAGGATAGTTTAAAGCAGCCACTCAGGAGCAAAAATCAGCCTTCAAATAATGATTTGACATGTATCGTGATATATATTGATATCGAACGATATGATTTTTTTTTATCGTAATAACATTTTTGGCCATATCGCCCAGCTCTACACTGTTGTTATGAGATAACTTCCATTATCCGCTTCATCTGTAAGTGCTCATAATGTATTGGCTCATCGTTCTATAGAGGATGTATAATATGGCATAGAATTTGCTGGTGATAAATTTGGTTTATGTGTTGTTTTTTTTGTTCATCATTGTTCCTGACTAGAGGAGGAACAGCAAGAAATTGATTTCTGGAGGAAGAATAAATCCAGAGCAAATGGGGAAGGTAAGAAGTGCACATGAATGGACACTCTCTCACACGTCCTGTGTACAGTGATTGAAGTGTGTGTTAGGATTTGGTTCACTCACCCACACTTCATTAAAGTCTGTTTATATACGATGCAGAAGGCCCCAGGCCCAAGAAGACTCGGATCAGCGAAGAAGATGATGAGAAAGATGATGGAAGGGGCGGCGATTACCACAGGAGTGACCCACAGATCGCCATATACCTGGACTGCCTGCGAAACAACGGCCAATCAGGAGAAAGCATAGTAAAGGTGTGTGTGCTTATATGTTTGTGTCTTGGTCAGGAATGGGGGAGATGGTTATTCAAAAACCGGCTATTCGAACTCGATCCTAGGGCCTTTTTACACCCGGCATCAACATGTTTTCGGGATAAACATTCCAGTTTCACTTGACAACGTGAAAAGCTTCTCATTTAAACCAAAACAGTCTATTTTGGTCTCATCCGTCCACAAAACATTGAGCGCGTATACATGCACTCAATAATCCGATAACTGCAGAAAATCAGATTTTGTCAGTATTCCGATCAACACGTTTGCATGTGCTTGAGTAATCAGGTAATGGGGAAACTCCAGGTCTACATGAGTCAGACAGTAATCAGATTTCTGCTCAACAACCAGCCAATAAACTCACAGAAGACGACGTGACGTAAACATAATGTAAAACTCAAACTTCATGAGTGAACGTCGCACCACTTTACCTGAAAATATGAACATACGTCATCTAGAAGATGAAGAATATTTAATTCTATATGTAGTTCGTTTCAGCGTCGCTCCAAAAGTGTTTTGCTGCGTCTCGCGGCGATGCTGCTCGATTATTTCCGGGTACCACCGTCTGTTTTCGCACATGCTCAGACTGAGAAATCTGAAAGAAATCAGAGTAAGAGTTTACATGCACTGAAAAATCTGATTACTGAGCTAAAATCCAGCCTCTTTATTGGTTTTATTAATCAAATTTCTAGACCTTACTCCAATCTAAGAAATCAGAGTGTGCTGGTCACCTGACCTTTTAAATAATCGGATAACTGCAGAAATGCAATTATGAACTGATAATTGAGTGCATGTAAACACACTCAGCGTTAATATGCAAGTAGCATTTTTGTTTGTGCATTGCTGAGAAACCCAAACTGTGCACAGATGTTTGCAGTTACAACTTTTCTAAATGGGAAGCGAAATGTTTTATTATTTAAAGATGTAGTGTAATTTAAAGTATGATTTTTTTTAAAAATGTAGTTAATTACTTCTAAAAAGGATTTAGGCTAAAGATGGCAACAGCTTCCAAATACTTCCATTTACTTGCTTTTTTCAGCAGACGAACAGTAAAATAATTGACATTACAGACTGAAAAGAAACGACTTTTGGGTATTATGTATGTCGCAAAACCTGCTGTTTATAAACAGCTGAGTTTGTTGGACTACAACTACCACACACACTGAAACGTAACCTGTTGCTGTTTGCTGGCACTACGCCTTGCATAAGCAGTTGGGAGATGTTCAATATTGCACATGCTGAGAGGTGGGAGTAGTTCACAAATTACGTTATTGATTTCCATCACTTGTGAATATTGTCACACTGTGCAGCCTGAACAGTATGAAATATTTTCCCATTGTGATGCTCAGATACTATTCTTTAAAATTCCTGTACCTTGTCTGTGAACAATGGACTCTTTTTGTATTGTTGCAGGGTCTGATGAAGAAGTTTATCCGATGCTCCACCCGTGTCACTGTAGGCACCATTAAGAAGTTTCTCTGTGTTAAGCTGAAGTTGCCAAGCTCTTATGAGGCAAGAAATTCATTTATTTTATCCTATTTCTTCACCAGTTCATCACAGCTCATATCATTAAATTAGGCCTCAGAAGTCCAGATTTGTCAGAAATACAGTGCAAAGGTCAGAGGCCTCCCTTCATTTATTTGATTTCCATTCAAAACGACCATTAGGTACAAGTTATTCATTTTTCAGGAGATATTTCTGAATAGATTGATCAGACTGATTGATTAAAACTGGACTGCTAACAACCATGCAAGACCTGGTAGACACCAAAACTGCCCCCATCAGATAAACAGCACTTAAAGCTTTCATCTCTGAGAGAGAGGAGAAAATCAAGCTGCTTCAGATCTGAAAACATCCACAGGTGTTTCTGTCCATCCTTCCACTGTGAGAAGACGACTCAGCGCTGTGGGTCTGAAAGGGTGTGTAGCTATCGAGGAAAATAGGCAAAAGACAAATTTTGCAGTAGAACCTCACTGGACATCATGTGGAGTCAGGATTCATGGAGTCTAAATTTGTAATTCCGTGAGCAGAAGCGCGTCTACTGTGAGCTGACTAGCAGGTGAGAGAATAAACAGTGATTAAAGTTCCTCAGAGCAAGAGCCTTGTTCACTTTGGGCCAATGAAAGTGTCCAATCCAAGCTTCTCAACTTGTATCGTAACTAGGGGTGCAACGATTACTCGGCTTAGTCGACTAATTGGCAACTAATTTAGTAGTCGATTAGTTGGTGATGTCATCACGCGTGTTTCTCGTGCTCACTAGCAATGTTTTGATAAAAGCACGATGGCTGCCTCAACAACAACATCCTTAAAAGTGTGGGAGCATTGGGGCTCCCGAGTGGTGGAACCGTCTAAGCGTTGGCCCTGCATCAGGAGCTCGCGAGTTCGATCCCTGGTGATGCTACAGCCATCCGTGGCCCGGAGTCCTAGAGAGCACAGCTGGCCTCGCTCTCTGGGTGGGTGGGATGGCCCCGGCTTCTCCCCCCATCACTCGACGCGATGCTAGTCAGCGCAGGCGTCTGTAAGCTGACGTAGCAGATCTGGTGGTTGGCGCTTTCCTCCGAGCGCGTTCAGCTGTCCAATGACGTTGCGTGAGCGGCAGCTCGAAAAGATGCGTCTTCCGAGACCTGATTTCACAGGTCTCGGAAGAAGCCTGTGTTAGCCTTCGCCCTCCTAGCGTTGGTAGTATCGTGTGATTGGGGGAGTCGTAACTAGAGGGTGGAATTGGAGACGACTAAATTGGGGTAAAAATTACCAAAAAAAAAAAAGTGGGAGCATTTTGCGCCAAACTCAGAAAAAAAGGTTGTCAGTTGTGCTGTTTGTTAAGCCGACCTCAGCTGGCTAGGGGAGCCTCTGAAAAAGAAACACGTCGGGTCACTGCATGAATAAGATTCATCTCGGTAAGATATTTGCGCCGTCTTACTTCATGTTCTGAGCTGAGCTGTAACATCTTCTATTTTGATATGCATGTTCCCTTGAATTGCCAATGGAGTTGGAACAGAGAAGCAAGTAACTGTTAGGCTACGTTTACACAGCAGGTCAAAGTGGCCCAAATCCGATCTTTTTCCGCAAATGCGACACAGATGTGTGTCTGTGCGTCAGTGTGAACAGATAAACACACTGAATCTGACATTTTCAATTCCGATATGAGACGCTTTCATACGTGGTACTGAAATCCGATACGTATCCGATCTGCGGCCCAAATCTGATTTTCTCACCAAATCCGATTTTTTTGTTTGGCTGTTCACATTATCTTTTAAATGTGATCTGTATGCGACATCAGTCTGAACAGATCAGCTCCTAAACCGACCGGCATGCGCAAAAGAACAGTGCTTCACGTGGCTCATCCAGAGGTGAACAGCCATGACGGCCAGTGAACGCAAGTCACTCCGGCAGCTTTCAGTTTCGTCTTCGCCAGCATCACAGGAGCGAGTATGAAGTTCCAGTGGTTGACAGCTGGACTCATCACCCAGAATGAGTTCAAGTTCGCCGTAAAAAGGGCGCGTTATTCGGCCACTTCTTTGGTTCGTGTCCTCGGATTCTTTAAACTGTTCTCTGACGCTGCAGCCTCTGTCTCCTCCAGCCACGTTCGGCCGGTTCGTTCGAAATCTCTTCGAACACGGAGCGGCTGCGATGAGTCTCTTCTAATGTTTTGGTTCAGAAACATCAGACTAAATGTTTGTGAGTCTCAGCAGCGCGAAATTATGACGAATGTCGACTTGGACTGACGTAAAAGTCGCATGAATTCCGATCTGGCTGTTCAGACTGAGTCGCATTGCTGCAGATCGGATACGTATCGGATTTTAGTACCACATATGAAAGCGTCTCAAATCAGAATTGAAAATGTCCGATTCAGTGTCTTTATCTGTTCACACTGACACACATCTGTGTCGCATTTGAGGAAAAAGATCGGATTTGGGCCACTTTTACCTGCTGTGTAAACGTAGCCTTATTCACAGCGACCCTGTTCACTTTCCAGATAACGTTTACACTTTTACACACTGCATCGCCGTCCTAGCATCGAGGCCACCGGTGCGGTCAAATCTAGCGAACATATTAGAGCATTTCCAAACTGTTGCAAACAGTTTTCTGTTTTCCGCGGACGTTTGCCACCACTTGCGAACAGTTTTATGAGGTAGTTCTACGCGCATGCAGGGCAGCTGGATGAAGAGGTGCCGCTGAAATGATATCAAATTTAACTGTTCATAGAGAAGTTTGCCACAATCATTCTCCACTTTCCCTTCCTCTCCATCAGAGCACATCATCTCTACAGTGGGGAGTGGAGAGCGACACTCTCACAGGAGCACGGAGAGATGTGATTCAATAAAAATACCATTCTGCGATTGTAGAATTTAGTTCAGACAGACAGCAGAATGCACAGAGCACAGACTGCAGTTTAAATTATAATTTTAAATTAAATATTTTTTTTATTTGCTTGATTAAAGAAAATTGATTTTGTTTTGTTATATTTTATTGCTGCTGCTTTGCACATCCTTGATTTTAAATTTTGACAAAAAAAAATTGTTTTGTTTATATTTTGTATTAGCAGGAAAACTCATTAAAACATTGCATTTTTGAATATGACATTAATCTTTATTGTCTTTATTGTTAGTAAACACATAAAACAACCTTCAGCTAAATTTAAAAGCTGATAGCTACATAAGTTATTTGGTAATTCAGTGATTCATAATCCGAATAATCGATTATTCGTTTCAATAATTGATAGATTATCCGACTATCAAATTAGTCGTTTGTTTGTTGCCCTAATCGTAACCAGTGGGAAAACTAAAACAGTAAGGCTGAAACAGCATGTGTGTGTTGATGTGCTTTTTATGCAGAAAAAGTTCAGGAGGATCTCTGGGGAGGCACTTCCTTGAAAAGTGTGAATCGGTCCAGCCAAAGTATATCCAGATACGATCCACACATGAAATACGTGTGAGCTTTGGAAGTGTGGAAAAATATCCCTGCAGATTTCTTCAAAAAACTTAAAGCAAGTCTTTCAAAAAGAATGTAAAAATGAGAATATTAAAAATTGTGTTATTATATTTAGTTCATGAGACTTCTCTGTTATTTTGTGTTATTCTCCAGGGTATATTTTGTTTTTTCCATCTGAATTCACATGACCAAATCGTAAGGCAAATTATTCAGTATCTGCATGAAATAAACATAAATTTTTATTTTATTTTTTATTTAATTTTTTTTGTTAAAGTTCCCCTCAAATTAACAGAACATGTGTTTTATGATCACACATATCGCTATATGCTTACAATTTACTGCTGAAAGCCAAAAATCTTAGACGCTCTTTGTATTATTTTATAAAAATAATGTTTACAGAGCAGATCACTGAAGAGACGCCATCTGTTTACAGTTTATAGCCCAGATTTGTGGAAAAATGGGTCGACTTTCAGTAGAAAAAAAACTTGAGTTCAGCTTCTTTTATTAGTTAAAATTACATCACCATCTATTTGACTGGAAAGAAGACAGTTACAGCTCTCATACGACCCCCACCTTTAGAATGTAGCTTATGAAATATGAAAGTTATGAAGAATATGACGAAGTGCGTTTTGGAACCACCGGTGGTCTCAAGGAGTTAAAAATGTAAGAAAGTATATTTCCCCCCCCAGGGCTGAAAAATGAATAACTTTTATAACTTTCATTACTAGTCAGCTGTTATGACTAGAAATGATGTAAATGAAGGGTGGTCTCTGACTTTCTCACAGCACTGTACATCACATTCAAGCCAGTATTGAATATTTCAGTGTTTGTAGCTTCTACATTTTCCTTTCACTAAGTTACTTCTTTAGCTTTTTAAGCATTTATACCGTAGGTAAACGTATTTGCCTGCTAGTAGGTGTGTTTTTCATGTGTATTTGTGCTTCCAGCTTGACGTTCTGTGTAATGGGGAAATCATGGGGAAGGACCACACCCTGGAATTCATCTACCGAACCCGCTGGAGACTGCGGGGAGACAGCGTGAGTGTGTGTTACACCCACTGGTCTGCTTCAGTGGACAATACACTACTTCATAGGCTCGGATCGTTTTTCTTCAGTCGACGTTTGGCACTTACATAGTTACATTGGGTGTGTGTGTTTTTTTATGCGGTTGCTGAAGCAAAAAGGGTGAGAGAGTGTGTGATTACTTGAAATCAGCAGTGTAAAAGTAAGTGCCCACGTTCAGAGTGGGTTCAAAGGAAGCAGAGATGAGTCCGAATTTTCAGACAATCAAGTCATGAATTTTTACAAAATAATGATTTTCTCTTACTTTTTACGTTTTCATAAGAACCTCCAGATGTCTGTACTCTGTACTCCACCACAAGGAAGTGAAGCCTGTGTTACGTATTGGTCTGAATTTCTTATTTTGTCTGTGTCCAGTCCAAAGAAGCAAACACAGACTACTGCAGCCAGCTAAGGGCAACTACACATTGACCTAGAAGCGCCGCACTAGTGTTGTAGTACCTGAGTCCGCTCTCGGTCTTGAAACTCGGTTGTGTCTTGGTCTTGTCATCGTCTGGACTCGGGCTAACCTCAGTCTCGGGGTGAAATGGACTTTTTCTTGAGCCCAGTCGAGTGCGATGCCTCCATCTTACGTAACTGGAAACGGAACTTTTTTCTTTCATTATTGTACATCAGCAAAACTTTCAACTAGAATAAAACTTGTTTAAATCAAATCTGTTCCTCCTCTATCTGAGGATCTGATTGATCCTTCCGTGATGGCTTGACTGCGTATTATTAGTTTGTTGATATTCATTACTTCCAACATTCAAACGCCTCAGGAGAGCAGATCAGAATGTTATTATTACTCTGTTTTTAATTAATAATAAAAATTATACAACAGTTAGTTTCGGCCACGCAAACTAAATGGTTGAGAAGCGTTCTGACCGTGTTGTTATGGGTTTTTCCACAAACACTGTATCACTCCGCTGCTAAGCAACGACTTTGACAGCTGTAGGAGACGCTCAAGCCATTTGAACGTTTTTACTTCTTACTTTGCCACAAACAGAAAATGGACACTTTTAAGATCACATCTGACCGACAGCTGATTTGGTCAGACTCTGAAGATGAGATGACACTAAATTCCCAAACTGTCATCACCACTGAGCAGCTTTTCAGTCGGCAGCTGAGACAGAAGAACAGCTAAACAACCTGGAATCAGCCAGAAATGAACCCAACACCATTCGCCAAACTAAATGGGCTGTAAGATGCTTTACAGACTGGCTGGAACAAAACAACATTAATACTGATCTGGCAAAAACTGACAAAACTGAGCTAAACTTGATATTGCGGCAGCTTTATGGCTCAGTCTGTACTTCAGAAGGCGAGGCTCACAGCCGACTGTGCAGCGAATGGGCGGAGTTTGTTACTCTGACGCAGCAACAAGCTGCTCGTTAAGGAACTATAATTTGGTGAAGGAACTGTGAACATTAAAACATTAAACGCCGCGTTCACGGCCCAGTTTATTAATTTATTACTTTATTAATATTTAACTGTTGTATAAAAGCAAAAGAACATTCGAGCTACCAAATCACAGCTGTGATGTTATTTGCGATAACACACTCCCTCTGTGTTCTACTGCTTAATGGAAAACGTGCTGTTTGGTTTATATTCAGTAGAATTTAGAGGGTGATTCTGAAGTTTTAGAAAAGAGGGGACAGAGAATAACCTCACCATCATTTGCATCCAAAAGTTGCAATGCAAAGGTATATTATATATTATATATATATATTATTTATTATTATCATATTATCCACCCCCTTTCTGTTTTCAAATTCTGAGTAAATCTAAATCTGATCTCAGTCTCTCCGCTCCAGGTCTCACTCTTGACTTGGACTCGACTACCACAAAGTAGCCACGTTTACATGCAGCCTAATAATCCGTTAATAATAGCTCAATCGGAATACAATACGTCCATGTAAACACTTCAGTCGGAATAGTCTAGTCCGACTGAGGCCGTTCGAAATACATTTTCTATCCGACTGATCGAGGTGGGTAATCCTGTAAATAATCTGTTAAATAGAAGAATAATATCTGTGTAAACGCCTGTATCTGATTACATTCCCTATCGGAAAGTTTCAGTCCGTTCTGATCATGTTCGTCGCGTCATAGTGAAAGTTTATACCGTTCAACATGGCGGAGCAGAAACTGTTCTGCAGAGGAGACGAAGTTCATGCCCTGATCTTTAAAAGACGGCGGTGGGACGGACGTCCAGCTTATGTGTCTCAGAACACGACGTCTTCCTCTCGGCCTTCTTTAATAAGGACATGTGAAGGACGTTTTCCTGAGTCTGACATCATTTTAAAGCAGTTAAAAACACAAGCACTGCTCACTGCTGCTCATCTCACTCTGACTGGACTCATGTGATGCTGGTTGTCATGGTAACGTTTACTCTAAATTGTTCTCTACGCATGCGTGTAATTTTGGGTCGGATTACTTGTAGTGAGCATGTAAACGAAGATTTTCTATCAGATTGTTGAATAGAGTAAGAATATAAACACCTCAGTGTTAATCTGTAATCAGAATGTTCAATCGGATTGGCAAAAGCCTTTGCATGTAAACACAGCCAGTGTTGGTCTTCACTTGGACTCATTATGTATACCTCGATTTATACACTGCAATGATATCTGTCGTGGCATGTTTATTGCATAGTTATGTCAAGGTTTTGTCAACCTTCTGTAGCAGAGTTCAAGTACAGTGTTGCCAAATTTAGATTGGCTGCCTTTCTGAGTGTAAATTTCAAGCCACGTCTCCTACTAGTCCGGGTTTCTTAAAGTAATAACTGTAATGAGAGACGTTAGAAAGAGAAGAAATCCATGCCTCTGGTCTTCACCTCCTGAGTCTTAAAATTAATTTTAATTTTTTCTAAATTTGTCCATAATTCAGTCCTTGATGATGGTGTAAACGAGCCAATATGATTGGTTTGATGAGAAATGTAGATTTCTTTTCAGAATTTTTTTACAGTGGTGGTGATCCAAGGGTTCTGTTGTCTACAGTGCAGATGTACCTGTTTACAGCCATTTTATTTACTGTCCAAAACCACTAGTGAACCTCTGAGTTCTGTTGATAATGGTACTTTAGCGTATATGTCAGCCTCAAGAGGCAGTAAACCTCATGTTCAGAGCCTTCGCATTTTGTAAACTCTGTAATGCAACAACTTTTTTTTGTAATGCAACAACTTTTAATGTCTTTTTCTACAATCAGATTGATCAGTGATCTGATTGATAAGTATAAAAAGAATGAAAATGAAAGTTAAATCGTCAGAATTATTGGTCAGTTTTTATGGGCACACTGTATTAGAATATATTTCCTGTATCACAGCCTTGTCCAACCGTATACCTCCAAAATAGCAACAAAACTGTACGGGTAAATTGTTTGAGCTGCGCCTGTGCAATCTAAAAAAGTCGGGGGGCTCTTTTGCCTTGCAGTGTCCTGCGTGTACATCTCTGCCAAGAAAATGTTTTAGGCCAAAACCTTCTCACTGAACTGTCATAAAACAATGAGTGTGTTTTCATGCACTCACTAATCTGATAACTGCAGAAAATCAGATTTTGTCAATCTGATTAACGCGTTTACATGCATTTGAGTAATCAGAAAAAGACGTGACGTAACCGTGATCTAAAACCAAACTTCATGCCGCGCCACCTTACCTGAAAATATTAACAATATTAATTAAAAACATATTCAGATCCTTTATTTTTTTCAAGCGTGTAGTTGGTTTCAGCGTCGCTCCGAAAGTGTTTTGCTGCCATCTTGTGGCAACGCTGCTTGCTTATTTCTGGTACCGCGGTATGTTTTCGCACATGCGCAGACTGAGAAATCTGAAAGAAATCAGAGTAGGAGTTCACATGCACTGAGAAATCTGATTACTGAGCTAAAATCCAGCCTCTTTATCAGATTTCTTAATCAGATTTCTAGACCTTACTCCAATCTAAGAAGTCAGAGTGTGCTGTTTACTTGACCACTTGAATAATCAGATAACTGCAGAAATCCGATTATTATCAGATTGTTGAGTGCATGTACACACACTCAGTGTCTCGGGCATCAGGCGGCATGTTCATGACCATTTCATGTAATAACTTTCTGTGAGGGAACTTTTAGGACGTCTGGTTCCCATCACCACCACTGTGAACCATTCGGACTCTGCTGTTCTAGAATGGAGCATTTCACACCAAACCACTTTAAAACTGTTCACTTTTTAACCTTTTAATTGTGTGTGTGTGTGTGTGTGTGTGTGTGTGTGTGTGTGTGTGTGTAAGAGTCCTGAAGAGTGTGAACAGCTGTCAGTATGGGTGGGAGTGGCAGTAGCAGAAGCTGCTCACAGCTACTGACAGCTCTATGACTCACACATCTCCAGTTACAGACACACATACTTGCTCACATATAGACACACACAACACTACAAGTGCAAGTTGGGACAGGAAAGAATAGCAGAGGATCCAAAAGTACTTGGGCTCCACGACTGGGACAAAATACTAGGGATGTGCATAATTTAGATTTTTGAAAATTAATGATGGGGCTGAAAGAGCTGCAATTTTTATTATGGTCTTTATCATCAGCACTGTTGTCATAAGTTTTAAGTGGGCGAATTTAACTTAAAAACACAGAGCTTGGGAACTGCCTCTGGATTTGTTAGACCAGGGGTCGGCAACCCAAATGTTAAGAATTTTGTCCTTTCAACAAAAATCAAACCAACTTGGAAGCCACATTTGATGTCCATTTTACCATCTTGGCTGTAAATATGTCTCAGTATGTGCTGATGTAGGCTAAAAAATATAATATAAACAAAAATGCAAACTGTAGCCACGTTTCTCGCATCTCTGGCAGGAAACTTTTCCACAAAAGTGGAATAGTTTCCTGTTAAATGTCTCTCAACGTTTTTTAACTTTTAACTTAAAAGTTAAAACGTATTAACTTTTTACGAGGCTGAACGCAGCTTCTTATTCGCACGATTCTTGTTCGAATTTTCCCGTTCCACCTTAAATGGTGCCTGAGGTGGCAGAGGCTGCTGCACCATTTAAGGTGTAATGGGAAAATTAGAACCATTGACTTCACCCTCGTGACTTTTTAGTGTTTGACAGTTTCTTGTTGCAGATTAAACGAATCAGGAAACCAGCTGGAGTGATTATAAATAGAAATAAGCCCATTCGTCTCCAAATAATCAATGTTCATCTTAAATCACTCTCTTTGTAATGTCGTTAGCTATTAGCTAGGCGAGACTGTTATCTGCGTTGCTATGGTGACTAGCAGTCTGTCTTCAGGGTTAAAGGGTGAATTAGCAGTTCTACATTAACTCCAGAGCTTAAGAACATTTATTGTTAAACTGTGTTGAACGATCAGCAGAGCTTTATTTTACTGTAAAGGAGGATTATTTTATTACTACCTACAAATCTAATTCTGCTTGGAGACCACAGGACAGTAAAAGAGCCACAAGTGGCTGTGGAGCCGCATGTTGCCAACCCCTGTGTCCAATCGGAAACAACCAAATACCCAAGAGCTGTGACATCTCATGTACAGTGGTACAGTGTAATATACATTAGGGATGTGACAGATATTCAATAATATTCAATACATTTGATCATTCAAATATTCAAAAAACAGAAAAGCCACTCGAATAACTGATACTTTTAGCACACAAGCTTCAGTGTATTGGTTTTCAACAAAGTTTTGTTTATGAAGCAAAACACCAGCGCAGGGGTATTTAAAATTCAGTAAGGTTCAGTTCCTCAATTCCTCAAGCAAAGGTCCAGAACATCATAATGTCTAACTTGCATCATGATTCAGTGCCATATACTGTTTACTGGAGTAGCCTAGTAGGTATATCAACATCTTATACAGTCAACAACTGAATGTCAAATCAAATAAAGTACAATTCAGTAACATTTCAACAATATTTATTGTCAGTTTTCTATTTTTAGATCACGCCATCTGAAATAACTTCCCTCTGACTCACTTTCTTCTCCGACTGCTGTTTCTCGGCTCGTCCCTCCCCTCTGTGTGCGTCACTCACTCGAGTCTCAGTGCTCAACGTAATGCACAGATCTGATTGGCTGAGTAGCGTCACGTGTGATATTTACAACGCATGCGATTGGTTTTTGAGTCTCCTGGGCTGCTAAAGCTACCGTAAAGGCTAGAGAAGTTACGCTGATTAAAACAGGACCACCCCGTCGAAATTAAATAATTCTCCATAGTTTATCGGTTAAAGGTCCAGGTCTGCATAGGACAGTGTCTGGGTCTGGACTCGGACCACGGTCTGCCTATTGTTACTCGCAGTAGCAGCACGTCTAAATAGAGCGATGTATTTTGCCTGCATGTCTTGAAACAACAGCGATTTATGGTTATGATTTATGTATCAGCTAATGAATAGAAATTATGCTCTAAAATGTTACATATAAATGACATATTTAAGTTTTTATAAACATGTAAATTGACCGCAACCGTTCAAACCTTTGCATACGACCGTTTCTGTAAACTGTTCTTTTCTCTCTCCTCAGCCGTATCCCATGGTTCTGGAGTACCGGCCCCGCATCGACTTCGGCTAAACCCAAAGCGGTTAGGGCACGCTCGTTGGTCTGAGGCTGACCGAACTCATACAGTGGACAGACGACACAAAAAAAACCCTGCTTAAATGAATGGTTGTGCCTCCTCAGAAATACAGCCACCCAGCCTGACTGGCTGCACTTCTGCTCCCACCCAACCTCTTCCTGGTTCGTCCCTCGCTTGTTTTGGAGTGACAGGCTTGGCTCCACCCCTCAGCGACATGTATGGCTACTTCTCTAAGTAAGACTTCTGTTGCTTGCTGTCTCCATGACAACACATCAGCGCGAGATGGCCCTGTTGGGAGTTCGCTGCCGAGGACAAACAGGGTTGTGATGGACGAATAACAAAAAGCACTTAAAAAAAAAATGCACTTCAGCGAAGATAAAAGACAGATGAAAGCAATGTTGTCTTGCAGGGTCCCCCGAATACGTGGAGTCTAAGCAGAAGAACTGGTGAGCTCACTGATTTTCAGCATACCAGTGTACCAGTGTTAGTATTTGTATTGGCGTGATGCATTGAATCAGGAGAATTCAGCAGAGGCTGTTTCTCAGTTTTCTTTCTTTTTTTTTTCTTTTCTCTCGTTCTCTCTCTCTGTTTCTCCCTCCCCTCTTTCTCTTTTCCTTTGCCTCGTTCTTTATCTTTCTCTTGCGCACACACATTCTTGCACACACACTCATCTTTGTTTTTTCTCTCTCTTTCTCTCTCTCTCTCTCTCTCTCCGATTCCTGTAATGGTGTTTTTGGCAGCCGCCTGAGATATTAATGGATCTTATTCAGATGGGTTTGAATGGAAGGCGCCCCGAATTACATCCCAGTCTTATCCAGTGGAAAAGAAGTCCCAGAAAATCACGAAAAGGGCAACGACCTAACTTTTTCAGTCGCATCGAAGGCCAAAGCATGGAGTAGTTTTAGGTTATGGAAGTCAGAGACCACCCCTCATTTATTTAATCTCCAGTCAAAACCGCTGTTAAAGTACAAATGAGTGTTTTTTTAGGAAATGTAAATATAAGATAATCCACTGCAGGAAGGAAATGGACATTATAACACTGAACCTGGACATCTGACCTCTGTGGAGTGAGGTTTTGTGGACCGACAAGTCAAAATGTTTCATCAGGATTATTTCAGATAATCTAACCAACTTCTAAGACTGAACATTTGGAGGTGTGGAAAAATTTCCCTGCAGATTTCTTTGAGGACCTGAAAGCAGGACTACTGAAAATAAGAAAGAAAGCTGTAGAAAAGGCAAAGTGTGGAAACACTAAATACTGAACCATTTGATATTATATTTAGTTGTTGAGCACCTCTATGTAAGTTTGATCAGTTTACCTGCTTTCTTTCATATACAGGAAACGTGAATAACTTGTACTTAATGGCCATTTTGACTGGAAATTAAGTAAATGGAAGTGCACTGCTTTTTGCATAGTATTATACACCGATCAGGCATAACATTCTGACCACCTCCTTGTTTCTACGCTCATTGTCCATTTTATCAGCTCCACTTACTATATAGGTGCACTTTGTAGTTCTACAGTTATAGACTGTAGTCCATCTGTTTCTCTGATACTTTGTTACCCTGTTCTTCAGTGGTCAGGACCGCCATGGACCCTCACAGAGCAGGTACTATTTGGCTGGTGGATCATTCTCAGCACTGCAGTAACACTGATGTGGTGGTGGTGTGTTAGTGTGTGTTGTGCTGGTATAAGTAGATCAGACACAGCAGTGCTGCTGGAGTTTTTAAACACTGTGTCCACTCACTGTCCACTCTATTAGACACTCCTACCTTGTCAGTCCACCTTGTAGATGTAAAGTCAGAGACGATAGCTCATCTGCTGCTGCACAGTTTGTGTTGGTCATCCTGTAGTCCTTCATCAGTGGTCACAGGACGCTGTTGGCTGGATATTTTTGGTTGGTGGACTATTCTCAGTCCAGCAGTGACACTGAGGTGTTTAAAACTCCAGCAGTACTGCTGTGTCTGATCCACTCAGACCAGCGCAACACACACTAACACATAACCACCACGTCAGTGTTACTGCAGTGCTGAGAATGATCCATCACCCAAATAGTACCTGCTCTGTGAGGGTCCATGGGGGTCCTGACCACTGAAGAACAGGGTCAATTACAGTCTGTAACTGTAGAACTGCAAAGTGCACCTATATAGTAAGTGGAGCTGATAAAATGGACAGTGAGCGTAAAAACCAGGAGGTGGTCATAATGTCATGCCTGATTGGTCTGTATCATTGTCAGAACACCTCAAAACTTTTTTTGTCACCATAAATTACATGAAAAGTAAGAAAGCTTTTTCCTCTGTATACTTTCCATTTTGGAGATTTTTGGAGAGGTTTTGTTGTTGTTATGACGATGATGATAGATTAGTGAATTCAGTGACAAAATCATTAACCAGGAAAGTGTGAGGTACGAACTCCAAAGTACCAGCTAATTAATTTGGGTAAACTGATAAGTTCCAAGACAGTTTATGCTAAATAAATTACACTGAAATGCCCAGCTGGTTCTACATATTAACTGAGTAATTGTGGGCAACAGTCTCCAAAGTACTATGTAATTGTTTTATAACCATTTTTAATTACATTGTACTGTGAAGTCTGTGCCACATATTTAATTATTTAATATCGAGAATCTGAGTATTGTTTAGTTAAATTGTCCTGGAGCTTACCATCATATTACCCAAAAATAAATACCTGGTACTTTGAATTTTGTACCTCACACTTACCTGGCTAATTCCTAGAACTTAACAGCTGTCAAAGAAAGCCTTACAGTTTGATTGATAATATGGACAAACTAAATTGCTAAAGTAAGTCCGTTATGCTCGTTTAGCTGAGGGATGATTAGAAAGGTGATCTGTTAATGACGTTTGGGAACATCTTAACGTTACGCAGTTGCGACTGATGTATGTTGCTGTTTGTGCAGATCTATAGGCCGTGTGGTTTTATGAGGCTACATCTGTGGATCTGCATCATGAGCTCTAATTAATTATGTCCCCTCACTGTATTAGATTACATCTTATCGTAAGGCCTGGTTTAGATCACACTGAAAGAACTGCCAAAATCAGTTGGAGGAGCATTCCCAAAAAGTTTGTTAGTGCTCAGTTTCATTACACTGAGTGCTCTGAGTCTTGAATCAATGCCAGTCACTTTTTGTTTTTCCTCTTAAGCAGCCATTAACTGTCTGTATGCCAGGCTGAATTCACTGCTCTAACAGTTTTTGTTATTGTGATAAAGTAAAGATGATGATGATGGTCATTATTATTATTATTATTATTATTATTGTTGTTGTTGTTATTGTTATTGTTATTATTATTAGGGATGCACTGAAATTCCCACCACTGAAAATCTTCACCCCAGTCACATTGAGTCACATTTGAAAGGGAAAAAACGTTTTGAATTCTAATGAAAAGGAGAAATAGTGATTAAAAACACTTTGTTTTCTTGGTAACACTTTCAATGAATGTCACCTTTGTAAGCATCTGTAAACACATTCATAACATGTTATAATGCATTCACACTGATGGCAGCACATGTTATAATGCATTCATAATGCATTATAAACATGGCTATAAATATTTATTAAAATGCATTACACGTTATAGCCATGCTTATTATGCATTATGAATTGTTAACATAGTACATTATAAGTACTGATCATAACAAATTATAAGAGCTCATAAGTGGTATTTGTCCGCTCTAAGTAAAGTGAAGCGTACTGTACTAAAGCCTCCTCCAGTGTTCAGAGTGAGGCTTCAAGTTGAAGTATTTACTGAAGGATTTACTGAAACACTAAAACATTCACAGTAAAGCACATTACAGGCTTCAAATGTCAGAGTTTAAACTAGAGCTGCATCAGTGTTTTACCCAATGTGGGAAAGGTAATGTTCACCACCGTTAGCCTGGTATTTGTCTTTACTTCACGCTCTCCAAGCTGGGACTGACTTCTTTGGCACTGACAGTATAACATGTTATAACAGTGCCAAAGAATTCAGTCCCAGCTTGGAGAGCGTAAAGACAAATACCAAGCTAACGGTGGTGTACATTATGAATGCATTATAACATGTTATGAGTGTGTTTATAGATGCTTATAAAGGTGACATTCATAGAAAGTGTTACCACACGTTCCGCTTCGGCTGCGTTCAGTACGGCGTCATATCTCCATTTTTGTCGTTTTTCAGTTTTTGACATAATTTGAAAATGCCTGTTGCCCTTTACATTGTGTGTAAATTTAATGAAGAATGGACCAAAAGAAACGACCCAAAATTACTTGGGAAAAATTCTGGTTCCATTGACTCACATTAAAAAATAGAGTAGGTTTTGTCCTGGAGATACGAGGTTTTCTTCCGACAGCAGCGATATGCTTTACATATTAATAATGAGATTCGACAGTGGAGGTGCTCTAGAATTTAGCTTTAGATGTAGTGAGTAATATATCTTCTTAATTTTGCAACTTTTAATTTTGTTTAGCATTAAATTAGTCCTTAAATTAGTCCATTTCTTTCAGTTCTCTTTCTCAACATGATGACTATCTTCTTTAAAAGCATCATCAGTAATATTATATTAGTTTGAAAGCAAAAATAAAACAGCAAATTATATATATATATAAAATAACACTTTTGGTTTTCTGCTGAATTTTGGGTTTCAGTTTTGGTCGAGAATTGTCATTTCAGTGCATCACTTATTATTATTATTATTATTATTATTATTATTATCATTATTATGGAGAAAATACTCAATCGCTATTATATTGCAGTACGTCTTCCAGTGTCATAAAACACACAGGTTTATGATTCGGCCATGTGCATTGGTGTGTGAACATCCCAGGTCAAATTATAAGTTTTGATTTCCTAAGTGAAAATAAGTTGCTTTGAACTTAAATATGCAATTTTTTCCCTGCAAATTTTAGTGTTCAATTTCTATTTATTTGTTTAGCATATAAATATGCCATTACATGTGCAGAGGGCACATTTTATGTTTCATTTTAATGCACAATTACTGTTTATTTTGCTAATTTTAACATATTGAGGAAAAAAATGTAGCCCCTGCAAAAGTTACTGTACATTTTACATGTGATTTTTTTAATTTTTTCCAGTAGCTAATATTAGTAAGTAAACAGTAATTATGCATTGAACTGTGTGTTCTCTGTAAAGGATATGTACTTACTTACAGTTAGAAAATCAACAAAACATGTAATTTAGCCTCTTGTTTTGCATACGACTGTATTTATCAAGGGTCTCTGGCTTTAAGTGGTCATTATGAATCAGTTGTTGCCTTTTGTAGTGTAACACATTTGATTTAGTGGACTGTGGGATGTGGTTGTAGGTCATCAGTCTTACTCTCAGATGCTTGAGAGTAGTGGGCCCAGCATGGCTACAGACAGTCCTGGTGGACGTTGCCCTTTTCCACTGATTGGTTTTGATGGTTAACGGTTCTGTTTGGGGAAACGCGTCCTGGATCTGCAGAACAAGGCCTGTATCAGCACTCATACCCCTGCAGTATCTTTAACAGTCTAATGCGGAGGTTTCTCTGTGGGTTTTCAACCCAGGAGCCAACCTGAATGTGTATGAAAGAGTCCCTCACCGTATCATCAATAACCCGGGTCAACTCCGCAGGAGAATTTCTGTTTAATTCCTTTTTTGATTGTATGAATGTTTCTAGTGGCTTTGATGAGTAGTTTGTAGGCCCAGTGGAGAACATGTGCAAATGAACGCTAGAAGTGTCTTTGAGCTCTGATGAAGAAGACGATGTATTTTTGTATCTCAACGAAGCACTTGTGTACATTTGAATCTATAATCAAAAGATTTGATGTTGTTTTTTCATAATCGAGAGATGCTGCTTAGAGTTATTTATTATTCTATTTTTAAATGTAAATGAGCTAGTCTGAGATGCATCCCCCGTAGACAGTAAAACTGTACATGAAAAGCGTTCTAACGCTGTACGTGACATGCTACAATTACTATTTAATTATCATCAATATTAAAAAGTGGAAAATGTTGCACAGCTTGTACTTGTGTTCCTTTTCTTGAAACAAAGTCGCTGTATCTGTTTTGGCTAACACTTTATTCAGATAGTCCACTTTAGATGCGTTGTAGATCCTTAACCCTCTATTGCACAATGTTGCCTCAGGGCAACAAACTCGTTTTCCTCACTTTACAATAACATTATCCATATTTAAAGACAATGAAAGGGTTAATAATAAAAGGAGCAGTTTTAGTATGTCAATAAAAAGCATGTTCTTGGTCATACTGTCTCTTAGCGGCCACTTTAAACCTTTTTTTTCCCATTCAGTTAGGGCTGGGCGATAAAACGATAACGATAAGTATCGCGATATAACTTTTCCTTGATAGAGCAATAAGACAGGTTCGATAAATTTTCGATATAATACACCATTCTCACACTTCCACGTTTTAGCGGAAGCCCTGGTGGCGTTTTCTACTGCAAGGAAAGCGACAATACTCTGCTGTCGCCAGGAGAGGGCGCACTTCCGAGTTTTTCGAC